TTTACAACAAGATTCTTTTCTTTCTTAAATAATGTACTCGAAATATATTTAGAATAAATACGTGTAGTCCGAAGAAACTATTCATTTAAGCAAACTATTATCGAACGAACAACTAGTGAAAGTGAGATTCCATAGAACAGTTAATTCCCTTCATGTTTTTTCTGAACTATTCAAATATTCTAGTTTCTTAAATACAGTCGATTCATGTTGTAATGAGATTCTCGTCTAATAATATTGGTGTTTTACTTATGATCCAATATACAATGAGTTGTTCATGTATAGCACCTCAAAATTACACCAATTTAATGAACAAGTCTAATATTTAGTTTTAAGTCTTTTTTTAATTAGCTAAACGAATAAATTTGGATTTCATTAAAATTACGTTATTAGAACATTTTACTTCTGGTACAACACTATGCTACTGAATAGGGAAATAATAAGTAATATATAATCTCACAACAAACATAATTTCACAAAATCATAACTTTAACTAGGCAGTTAAAGATATTTTACGTAAATGCTATTAGTTGCATTTGTTAATTATCGCTCCCTCTCTTTACATTTTATATCATGATAATGGAATTACAAATCATCAGCTTTAATTTCGTTCTGCTTCACTTGTCTTCATCAGTTAGGTTTAAAACAACAGCAATATTATTTATAATTCTATAATAATAATAACAATAATAATAATAGTATTTGTTATTATTATTATTGTTATCATTATTATTGGTGTCATTAATGGTATTCCCATTTGTTTTACCACCATTTTTTGTTGTTGCATTTTTTCATTGCAAAGTGTTGTTATCATTCATGAAATTAATCACATTTTGTAACATTTTGAACTTATAAATTATCTTTTATTTCTTCTACTATTTTCCTTCTCTTCTTTTTATCACAGTTATTGTAATGTGAAAATCTATTCAACCACATAGTATTATATATACAATTGTTGTCGTTATAATAATCAAAATAATAATAATATTATTATTATAACAAAATTCAGAGCTAACGATGGTGGGTGGTTAACAGAGCTGTTTGTGTGTTCTCACCAACGCGTTGGCCACTATGTGTACATGTGAATGCATAGAGAAGGATTTTATCTTATATAGACAAGGACAAAACAACATTAATTGTATGTATGCACTTTGTATGTTTGCAGGTATTTCCATAAGTCTATTATAGCTGGTCCATATGAATTGTGATTATTTGCCTGTTTGCTTAATAATGTGTCGTATACTGTCTTCTCAATCACCTATCGTCTAATACAAAGGCATACAATCATAAGATATATTATTTATTTTATTCTAAGAATATCATACTGTTTAGTGCTATCTATAAAATAATAATAGGGAGTGTTAGTTTCTTTCTGTTTTAATTTATGTAAATCTGATGACTATTTGTTGTCATTTCGCCTAACACCATTTGTAAAATTATTCTTATTTATTCTTATCATTATATTTTAGAAAAGGGTACTTGTCTAAGAAGTGATTATTTATTTGTTTTATTAGATGTGCTTCATTGGTTACAAAAACCACAACATCTACGCTACTCAGTACAAATATGTGTAAATATAAGCAGATTTTTATTATTACAATGAAATGTGACTAACCAATTAATACAACTACAACAACTACTACTATTACTGTGGTATGTGCTACTTGTGTCTACATAAGTAGTATATAAGGTTAGTCAGGAATAGAATGTCTATCCTCAGAAGGTTGAGAGGATCGAGGAGGAGAGAACGGGAACAGAAAGTAATTGGTATGGAAATGCAGGAACAAAGAAGTCTGAAACAATGAACATTTCGCAAATAAATTATTTACTGTATAGTTCTCAGATTTTACTATGTTCTGTAATTTTCCATTCAAATATATTCGATTGTCCCCACTTGTGTTCTCGTTCACTGCGTTAATACTACTACCACTACTACTACTACTACTACTACTACTACTACTACTACTACTACTACTACTACTACTACTACTACTACTACTACTACTACTACTACTACTACTACTACTACTACTACTACTACTACTATTACTACTACTACTACTACTACTACTACTACTACTACTACTACTACTACTACTACTACTACTACTACTACTACTACTACTCATATTGGAGACAAATAAATGTGAAGTAAATGGACGGTAATGTATGAACTTAATTTTATTTAGAGTTTTGATAGTTTCTAAGTTGTTGGAACTGATGAGAATCGTAGTGTTTGAAGTTAATTATACTACTAATAATTTTGTAGATAATAATAATGTCATATATGCATTCCAGACGGTTAGGTATGATTATTTGCTGGAATTCAGTGAGTAACACAGTCAATCTTTTTAAGTTTATGTATATGATAACGGTCTCAAGTAACAGTCGATTAAAAAATTAGTTATGCTGTATAAACTGTTAAATCAACTTTTATGTGATACCTTAAACTATTCACACTAATGTTGCAATTTTTGTAATTATCCGACTTAGATTATCCGTTTTTGTATGAGAACTCGGAATGTCTAATTGATAAACACGAACATGAACTGAAGTGAATCAATAGATTTCCTCAATAATAAAATTCTAATCTAGAATCATTTGTATTTTTCATACGTATGTTCTCCGGCGCTGTTGCATCTCAACTATATTACTTATTTTAATCTTTCAAAAATAGAAAATAACAAGGTGTTATTGAAGGTATATTGAACAGTTAAAAACCCTTGGTTAGACGAAAATTACTGCTATTTTACTTGCTACCTATCTTATATTAAAAAAATTAATACAAGATCCATCAAGGGATTAGAATTATCATATTCGAAATGTAACTTTGAATGTGCTAGCTGACACGTATGCTCTGAATTATGCTTTTTATTAAAGGTAGTTATGAAGTGTATTAAGCTGTATTTCGGTCTTTATACCTATTATATGAGGTTTGGGTCAGTTCGTAGTATTTATTTAAGCACGAATTGCTAATTAAATCAGCCTTGATTTTAATCGTGTTTACACCAAAACTAACCTCTCTGATACATGTTTTCTAAACAAGAGAAGTGGAATTGCCATCGTCTAACTTCCCTTCGTATGAATTGACTGATCAAATAAGATGGAATTCGCGCAAAATCAACCTATTTAAATGGTAGACTTTGAATTTACATATGATTGAATAAAATTTCATATCAGTAGCTGTTCAGTGATGATGGGAAAACGTTGACTTCATCACCCTCATTTGAGAAGAATAGTTAGTAGATAATTATTTGAGGTAAATAGTTCAATAGATGATTAAAACGTGACTCTGGTATTTTCAGATTTTATGGCCCAAACTGTTTGGAGTTGGACAGTTACTGAATCTTACTATCCTATGTGTTCAGACTAACTAGTTTGTCAATATAGCTTGCATAAATTTCAATCTGATTATACAAATATCACTCTACTCCATTTTATAGACTGAGAAATGACCAATCATTAAACTATTATAAACTTGCGGGTTGTTTGACGTGTTTTTTAAATTAAATGTATCCGGCAAGACGAACCTTTAGGTAGATGGTGAACTATAGTTCATATAGTATAATTACGTATTTTTTTTATCAGTATTTTCTGTTCACTCCAGTTGGACGAGAATGATGTGACCGCTTAACTCATTTAATCTTTTGTTAAGGTCACACCATGAGAGATGCATTCAACTTGATGGATAAACTGGCTAGAGTTCAGTGTTCTTTCAGTGACTCTACGAAACAAATATCTATTACAGTTTTCTTTGTTGACCGGTTTTCCAACTTCTAAGTTCTCTTTTAATTACGTTGTATGGCCTTTATATTGTATTTCCGTAAAATACATGCTGATGTGGCACTGTGTTTCCAGACTGCTAGTTAGATTATTAGGATTATTTTTTACACAAGACTTATACTCACTACTACAAACTAAATAAATTTAATGATTTACTGAAAATAGAACTAACTGTTCAGTGAGATCCAATTTAATTGTATGTTTCTGTATACAAGCATATATATATATATATATATATATATATATATATATATATATATATATAAATTTAAATAAAAAACGATTGGAATTAATACATAAATAAAATATTGTACAATAAGTCGTATTCAGCCATGCGTTCCAATCGAGGTCAGTTAAATGAAGCCTATCCCCTATGACTATCATTCAATTTAACTAATTCCTTGATTGTTCCATTTAAATTTCGACGTCACGTGTATATATATATATATATATATATATATATATATATATATATATATAATGTTTTGGTTCAACAATTTGAATGCTATAAAAACATGTGAACTTCTCAGCAGGAGTCTTTATTGATAGATAAAGTTGTTTCTTTAAGTGATATTTTTAGGA